CTTTCATTGCTTGCATGCAGAGATGCCAAGTGCTATGAACATCAGTCATCCAGCCTCCATCCCAGGCTTGTTTTCACTGAGCTGGATTACAGGTGTCAGCAGTAGGTCTGCACAGCCACAGGCACCAAGAAGCTGAGAGATATTTGGCATGCAGCTTATTATGCTGAGAGAAGCAGCTCACAACATATTGTTTTTTACAGAAGAGTGGCATGGAGATGCATTTTCTCTGTGAACGCATGCTCATTATTCTAATATTTCATTTCTCATCAGGCTGTAAAGGTCCCGCCGGAGTCAGAGGGAGCACATGCACTGCCTCGTTTTCTCTACACAAGGGAATAACAGTGTCAAGTTGAAGATGCTGAATTTATTGTCATCTCCATATGATTTTTCCATTCCAGGAAGAAATCTTCCATTTGGAACCAGGCAAAGTAGAATCTGGGAAAGGAAAGTGCTCCTATGACCCGAAGCTCAACAGTGTGTCAGCTTTAATCAGTGAGTATCATCTGAGCTTGGTCACATGAGGACGTAGACACGGATGAGACAGTCCAGTCCAACTCTTTTTAGTCTCATCCCACATGGATTCTTTTATCTTCTCTTTTTTATTTGTCCTTCTCTGTGCTCACTGTCAAATTTGTTAACAGGAAATGCTTACCATCTGCCATTGATGTCCAGAAAGGCCAAGCCAAGTGTGCTCTTTCATTCTGTGCCTCTTTCTCACAGTTAGCTGCTTAGTGTAATCAGCCTAACCGTTAAGGAATTTTGCCTTGTTAGGGTGTAGATGGGCACAGTGGTATGTGCCTATTAATGTGAATCCCTTGAGAATCAATGACTTCCAGTTAAACTCCTTTTCAGGGCTTATATCACCATTTGAAAGTTTTCTTACTTCCATATTTATCAGGACTCATTGTGTGCAGTCTCACTTCTCTTGGAGACAGAGGTCCTCGCATGTTTTAATGGCCAAGCAATCACATACTTATATATTTACACACATATTTACAGTACAGTTAAACTAACAGGAAAGCCTGGAGAAACCTGATTTTTGATGCTTTCACTAAGGACGTTTACCAGATGTTTACCCATGCCAGACCACCAGCATCATCAAAGCACCAAATGACAGAAGAGATTTTGGATGTGTTAGATTATGTGCATGCACTTTGTGTTAAAATATGGGATTATTGTCCTAAAAAAGTCAAAGGACTAAAATATCTACAATAAAAAAGATGATCTGCTTTTTTTTTTAGGACAAAATCATATTTCTATCTTTATTCAGTACCTATCTGTAAATTTGTATCAAGGATCAGTCTGGATACTATAACATATCATCTGTTGTAGCATTCATGAAGTCAGCGTCCTCTGTCCCTTTGCCCAAGGTCACTTAGTCGGGTCCGGACCACACAGCTGCCACCAGTGAAAGGCGATCTTCACTCTGCAGGGTGAGACAGCAGGCGTAAATCACTGGCACTGCTTTCCCACATTAGCACAGTGCCAGCTGAACAGTATGGAACTGGTGCTGTCATCCGAGATAGATTCACTTCCCTCCTCCACCAGTTAGCATCATACAGGGGACAGTGTTGTTAGTGTTGATAAGGATTAAGAACCCTGTACCACAATAATAAATTTACTATTGACCACTAACTGCTCTGCTCTCCGCCACATTAGACATCCTATCATCCATGGACATTTTAATGAGTTGCCATCATTCTCTGCATAGCACTGCCAAGGGCCATGACATTGAGTATAATGATGGTAGGATAGTGGTTTTGTTTCCTCTGCTCAATCTCTACGGGCTCTAACAGTCACACCTGCTCTCCAGTGGGGGCAGCTGTAAGATCAACATATTGTCTTCTGTGATTAACAAGGCTGTTGTGTACATTAGTCAGTCTGCACACATAGATGTGCTCAAAGTTTGTCTTTATGGAGAGCATGTGAAGAGTGTTTAGGAATGTTTGGTTCCTGGTTTTTGTGACACTGTATAATATGTGCGTTCTAGTTTCTTAATGAATTTTTCTTATGTTTCCTAGAAAGACCTGTTTAAGTTCAAACTAATTACAAGGGCAATAGAAACAGTGAATGTAGAAAATCTCCACTCATTTAATTACATTTTTAAGAGCAGAACCAGAAACAGAACCTGAAATTTAGGAGAGGGGAAGTAGTTGGGAGGGGTTGACAAGCAGTTTCTGATTTCCACAGGAAGCTTCCTCAAAAAATGTTAAACTCCCAGTGACAGGAAAAACAGAGAGCTATTCTTTTCCAAGCAAGTACTCATTTAACATCGCAAACATAATTATCCGTTGGTCAAATGTTATTTTTATCTGCAACAGACCTTGACAGTAGACATTTTGACTGAGCAGGAAATGTACAGGTGGAAAGACGATACTTATGGCTCAGTGTCCTACAATAAGTTGGTCCAGTGAATCAACATGGGCCATCTCTAAGTGGAATGCACTCATCATTAATGTTATTAGTAGCACTTGTGATTTTGTGAAAGATAACACAATGTGAATGAAAAAAGACTATGCACAGCTAGAAAAGCGAAGTTCGTTTAGTGCACCTGCTGTGACTAAAACTTGGTTAAAATGTGCACGAACACAGCCAGTTAAATGGAACAAGTTGTAAGACAAGTGTAAGGGGCTGATTAAATAATGTTCCAAAAACTACCTGCAGTAGTAACCTAGCATTATTTATAGAGGTAAGGGGGGTGTCATTGCTAATTTCTGAAAATAATTCTCTCTAAGCACTGTTTGAAATAAGTGAATAACATTGTGTTGATTATATTGTTCTATAATACCAGGGCTAACTGGCCCTATTCTACAATACGTAGACAATACTGCTCTTTATTTTCATGTCTTCTGTATTGATCACCAGTTGTGACTTTTTGCCTGGGGCATGCAGCCTAGCCTCAGTCTTTTGAAATTAGCTGTACTGTATATTATATGCAGTATGTAGTCATCTTGTGCACATTTAGGACTTTCTGTCAGCTTCTTTTTTAAATGAATGATGGGCTTTTAAATATGTTTTGCCTTTAGAGTTCATTTTGCTAGCTACAGGTAATAAAATGTGCTAGTGACAGTCATCATTTTAACTAACAAAATTGAGAGTAGCCATCTTGAAATAAAAAGTGTACTTTTGTATTCTTCAGTTTGAAATCAAATAGTAATTGTTTTATAACTTAGTACTACAGTGGTAAATATGTGTTTTTTCATTGTCAATTGCATCCTGTACCTGACAGGAGTAGCAACAAAAAGCAGGAGGACAGGGCTTAGTGAGCAGTGAAATGGATGTTGTAATGCTCCTGTAATTAGTAAACATTTACAGCATCCCTCCCAGAAAACTTCCTAAAAAAATCACAGTTAGATATTATCGCTTTACAGGAAACTCTTGAGACTCGTAAGATAAAGTTTCATCTCATGTTGCAGCCTTTTGAGGATTGATGTTTTGCATCTTTAATTACAGTAACACCCTGGCCACTTTGTGTCTAAATGAAAGCAAATGTGTAGATACTCAGCTGCTGGATTCTGGAATGAACAGTCCAGAGATATTTGGTTCTAAATATACTTTTTGAAATAAAAGCCTTGATGCTTTATGATGTTGGGATAAAGTCAGAGTCAATGAGTTTCACTAAACTCTGCCGTTTTCTCTTTCTCAGATGGTGAACTATATGCTGCGGTCTATGTTGACTTTATGGGAACAGACTCGGCCATCTTCCGTACTTTGGGGACAAAGACTGTCATGAGAACAGATCAGTATAACTCCAGATGGTTGAATGGTAACTGTCCTATTTAACCTATAAATGATACACAGGGCTTTCATCCAGTTTCTGCAGTTTTCTTACATGACTTTTCAACACACACAGTCTAACCATGGGTCCAAATGTAAAGATGCTGGTGTTTGAATATGCTTACTGAGTCATTTATCAAGTTATAAACAGGAAATACTGAGAGTTTATAAAGGGTTTTGGGCAGATGTTTTCCCATATCCTCATTAAACTTCTGGCTATCTCTCCTCCCCACAGACCCCACTTTCATCCACGCACACCTCATCCCGGACAGCGCGGAGAGAAATGACGACAAGCTGTATTTCTTCTTCCGGGAGAAGTCGTCTGAGATGGGTCAGAGTCCTGTGACCCAGTCTCGTATAGGACGCATCTGCCTGGTGTGTACACAGTGAGGAACGTGTTTACTTTGGAGTGTAAACATAATGGAAAAAAAACCTGCATCCATATGAAAAACAGGCTAGAGTCCCCTGAGGCGAGTCACCCACTGTGTTTGAATGTTTACGGGTGCAGGACTTGTATTTGGCCAACGCTGACGTGCTGGAATCCACATGTGTCTTTAACCTTCCTGTCTACAATGCATCCCTCTGTCTGTGAGATTGCCCTCTGACCTCCGACCCTGTGATCCCTTGACCTCTTCTCCCTGGTAGTCCTAAAACACTGTTGAAGCTTTAGTGTACATAGCAGCAAAAACATAAAACCTCACCACCTTTAAAAAACTCATGTTAAGTAGACTTCCTCCACATACGCTTGTGTGACTTAGAAAAAGAAAGAGAGCAGAGCTATAAAAACAAATAACACAAATGTCCTGTGGGGTAACTATCTGAGCTGACAGTGTTTATTTGATTTGAGTTTTGCAAGGTTCCTTCTGGGTTTGCGTGCATGTGTATTATTATTATTAGAGCAGGTATATGAGTACGAGTATGAGTGAGAAAATGTGGCTTACGTGTGATTGTCGCCTCAGCTGTTCGCCACTGTATTTATTTGAGGGGGTCAGGCGCTGACCCGACACACAAACACTCATCCCCCTCTCAGTGGGCTCTGCTGCGGCCTCCAGAGACCCGCTCCTGTCATTCTTACTTCAACATACATCTGGATACTCTTACTGCCATTCTCTGCTCCCTGCACACCAAAACTAAACTTTACCATAGCTGTATTTACACTGAAAACATTTCAACTCCCAAAATGATATTCATCAGAAATGCACAGCCACTCTTTAAAATGAAAGATTAAATTATACACAAACCAAAGTGCAACATTCGCTGCTGGTTCTGGAGGCACACACTGGTTTCATCTCATTCTTACTGGGGTGAATTCTGGCCTCGCTCCACTGCAGATGGAAGTGTCTAAATAGGAAGCGCCAATGTTTACCATCACTACCACCACCCTTATTTTCTTTAGCTTCCTGGCTTTTCAGACCAACATGTACTGTGTGTCTGTGTGGGTGGCTCCACCTGGGTTTGTTTTCAGTAGGACAGAGGAGGATGTAAGCATGAGCGAGTGATGGAGAAACTGTTCTCTGTCTCCTCCACCTTCTCAAATGCAGAATGATGACGGAGGCCACTGTTGTCTGGTCAATAAGTGGAGCACCTTTCTAAAAGCCAGGCTCATCTGCTCGGTGCCAGGAGACGACGGCATGGAGACGCACTTTGATGAGCTCAGTGAGTACACAGACAGTTACATCTGCAAACTGAGATCATTCTGTGGTTCCTCACTCTGTGTTCAGTTGAAATGATCATCTGTAGGTTACTTGGTGTGGGTGTGGGGTGTTGCATAGACTTCATTGTCAATCAAATATGCTGCAAACCCTGTGATGTCTTTTCCTTAGATTTCTCTGTAGGTGCTGCTTTCCTTGTCAGTTCAGCCAAGGTTGCTATCACTGTTCTTCTGCCAGATTACATCCCACACATCTAGGGCTGCAACTAATGATTACTTTCACTACTGATTAATCATTTGGTCCAAGAAATGCTATAAAATAGTCAAAACAATTGCAAATAAATTGAATTCAAATAATTAAATGGAAACCACCTATTAGTTTGCCTGCTTCAAATCTGTGTTAACAAAAAATACAGCAGAGGAAAAGACAGTGAACTGGTTCATTTTGATCTATGGGAACTGAACTTTGAGCTAGCTCTTGTGAAGTGTGAACTTGCACAAAACTGATTACCATAAATGACTAAGAAAAGCATCAGTCGTCAAACTGGAGAAGGTACAAACAGAGAACTGGTTGTCGAAATTGTTTCCAATAAATTTTCTGTTGATTACCCAATCAACTAACTGACTAATTGTTTCAGCTGTAAACACACCATCTCCTTTACATTTGAGGAGCAGAGGTGTCTTTATGTTTTCTGTTTTATGTAAAGGTCATTTAAAAGCTTGCATTACTGTAGATATTAAAACAATATTGTGTCAATCAGTAAGATGGAGTAGTAAAATAAACATTTTAAAAACAGAAATACCACTATTGTCCAAAAGGAATAGTATTGTTAATGCATCCTTAGCAAAGAACTTTTATTACATCTTGATTTTTCTAAGAAACCAAACCTCTTCTTTGTGCAGTTAATCATTTTGACAGTAGGTATAAAATGGCAAAGAACAAGGACACAAATGACATTACTAGATTTATTTCAGACATTTTCATTTCCAGGTTCCTGTCATGTATAATCACATCTGAAATATTAAGTATAGAACAATCTACCACAGGGTCTGTTTCTACTGCGACACCTGCCAAGTGCACACACACACACACACACACACACACACACACTCACACCAGATCTCAGTCCATGGCCCATATGGCAGCCCACTCCCATTATATACTGTAGCCCATTCAGGATATTGTAAGGTCAGTGGTACACACAATCCCTCCACTGCAGATGTCATTTTCTTTTAAGATGTCTTAAACAAAAGTGTCTGTTACATGTGTGTGAGGGGGGAGTGGCTGATTGGTGTGCAGATCAGATCCCCAGCTGGAATGTGTGTGACTGCGTGAGCTCTCCAGGGAAAGCTCTGTCTCTTTCTGTCTTGCCAGTTTAAAATAGAGCCATAGAGTAGATCAGGGACCGATGTGTGAGGCTACTGTTGCTCTTGAACTAATCTCAAGAATGAAAAGTGCCATGCCTGTTGAATCTGATGGTAGATTTTTCCATCTTTATCTCACTGACACATTCCTTACTTTTATCTCAACCTGCCTGCAGTTCTAAAAGCTCTTTTGTTTTTACAGCTAACATTTATTTTTCCCCTCTTTGAACAGCTGCAAAAGTGACACACTGGGAAACTGCAGCCACTTCACATAAATGATGTGAAAACGGTTCTGGGCTTTTTTTTTTACCTTTACCAGCGAGGGTTCTGTCTTTACTGGACACAGGCCTGCTGTGCAGAGTGGTTCTTTGAGAGGGTTGGAGAGTTGTCACTGTTTGGCACTAATGAGGATTGTCAGAATATTGCTTGAATAAAGCTGTAAATGTATAGTGGACCAGGCTGGAGAATAAACAAGGATGTGGTATGAAAGCATAGATACTGTATGCACACAAAGAAGGATAAGACATGTGCACATGTCAGTTTGTAGAGCAGCTACCCCACCAACAACTCCTACAGAGGACACTTATTAGCTAAGGTTAAGTATCATGCTAATAGATTCACATTTAATATTTAGTTTATAAAGCTCTGTAGGTGAGGAGTTTGTCTTTACAAAAGAACATGAAGATTTTAGGATTTCATAAGGGCAAATGGGAAGATTAATGCAGGTAGGGCAGCGCTTGGCATTCTGTTTCCAGCAATTCCACGGGGTGCAGAACATACGAGGAACTTTTTATGGCCAGAATCCTCCCAAATACATCTGTGGTTTCCCTTCACTGTGCTTAGCTAAGCTAAGTGGCTGCTGACACATATAGTAGCTCCATATTTAACAGACAGCTATGAGACTATTGTCAGTCTCGTCATTTGCAGTAACTCTTGGCATGAAATCAAAAAAGTATATTTTCTAAAATGTGGAACTTTGCTTAATTCTACATATTGGGGCATGTACTACAGTAAGTAGGCACTGTTCTTCAGATGCATTACGGTGCACAACTGAAGATAGTTTCAAGCCATGCCACATTTTCACAGTTCAGCTGGTCATGCTTGAATTTCTTAAAATTTTAATAAAATAACTCTAAACTCATTATTGAGAAATGTCCAAACCAGCTGTATCCGCGGTAGTCTTATACAGAAAGACATTATGGCAATGCATGCCTGAGTGCTGAGTTTTTACAGCTGGAACATATAACACTTATTAGTTTTACCTGACAAGCTGAACCTAAATGACATGCCAAGTTTAAATGATTTTTTTACTTCGTAGCAGGCACAAGAACAGCAGATATTCCTGCAGTATAGATGAGGAAGGCTTTAAAAAATCTCTGATCAATAGGCAGAAGGACAAAAAGGCAGAGACCAGGAGATTAGAGTCAAACAGAGACAAAGGGAGATATACTAAATGAAACACAGAACACCCAAAGCCCAAAGGCTGATCAAGCAGGACTTTTTTTTTGAAAAAATGTGTTCTGAGATTTTATTGCCATACAAAAATAAGCCAGATAGTTGTGGAATCTGGCTCTTTCATAGCTGTTATTAACACACTGAATCCCTTAAAGCTAAGTCACCACTGCCCTGTCAGGACAGCCTTTATTGCCAATCAGACATCTTTTTTCCCACATGTTTTTCTGGTGCTTTGGCTGCAGTGGTATCTTCTCTGCATATGCACACACTTGTGTGCTCTTGTGTGTAAATCATTCATTTTTGTAGTGTAACAGCTGTATGAAATGACAAGGATCATCTGCTGCGTCACACCCACGACAGGTTGTCATGCTGTGTCCATGCTAACCTATGACCGTTCCACAGCTTCCACTGCGACAGCTGTGGAAGATGGCATGGTGGTGTGAGTGTGTGTGTGACTTTAGGGAATCTGGTAGCTACAGAGATATAAGCACAGTGTGCCTACTGTCACTCAGCTTGATCCTTTTCTCCAGGAAGCTCAGGGTTACAGACAGTCCCTAAAGGGAGGTAGGACTGATTCTCTGTGGACCCGGCAGTTCAAATTCAAAGACAGCGCTTACACTTTCCTTGTAACATTCTATCTGCACAGCAGCCTGACAGCTAATTTCTCACGCTGGTCTATATCGGACTGCAAGCACATAAATCTGACACAGGTATACTTGCACTTTTTTGCATCTGATCAGTTCTCCTCCTGTTTCCACACTTTCCAGACATTAATAATCACATTCTTACTGCATCTTTTCTCCCTCTGTCTCTCGCTTCTTGACTTTCTAAGAGGTTTTATCTTTACCCCACAATTGTTTATTTGTGCTCTTCTGGTTTAGGAGCACATTCTCTGTTTTGTCCTATTGTGAACATGCCTCCCGGGACAAGTATTTAGGTCAGGTACCAAAAAGGAGAGAGACTCTCGCCCATCACGTGTTTAGCTCTTCTTTGTCTATTGCTGTGGACCTTTCCTCAGTATCAGCAGGATCATCTAAATCAGGCAGCATCCAATGTCAGAGCCTTTTAGGACAGAATATGTCAGCATGCATAATTTACAGGCCGCTAGAATTGGCTTAAGAGTATATGAGTCAATTCTCCTCTGGGAGAGAAGCTGTATTTCTCTTCCCTCAAAGTGAAAGACATGAACGATTGGTGCAGGAAGAGGAGGATCCCTGCACATAATGTTTAAATTTTCCTCAGGAGAAGTCTCAGCAATCACAGTGGCCTTGTCTAGACTGTAGAGAACCAGACTGTCTGAATTCACAGCCTTACTGTTGAACACCAGTGTTTTCTGTTTGGTGCTTCAACTGATTTGACTTCAATGGTTAATGAAATAGCCTCTCATGGTTCTTCAGTGCCTATGTCTTATCTTGTCAATAAAGTCTTCACCTTGTGTTTCCATTCTGAGGCCATCATTCAGACTTACTTCCTATTTTCCTTTTGTTATTTCTATTAGACTGGTAGGTAATGTTTCTGCTCCCTTTAAGTTCTTTAGCCATGTTAGTGCCCTGACTTTTCAGTCAGTTAAATGATTTTTAGTTAAATATGTTAACTATTCTGAAAAATATCTGTCAAGGTTCAGCCTTTTAGTTAGTGCATCACTCCTGGGGAGGTTCAGACTTTCCAGCTAAGAGCTGTTGGACTGCCTGAAAGCTGCGTAAATATTAGTAAAGAAGAGCTTGTGCTGTGCAGCACTGTTCTCTTTACACTGATGTGATTTCTCTGTTGTCTCTTACAGGAGATGTTTACATACAGCCAACACAGGACACAAAAAATCCTGTGATATATGGAGTCTTCTCTGTCTCTGGGTTAGTGTGCTATTATGGATAGTGTCCAGTAGGCACAGTTTCTGTTGCTTTGTGAGATAAATTTGCCAGATTTTTTTCTCTTGTCCTCTTCTCCCACTTCACAGCTCTGTATTCAAAGGCTCAGCAGTTTGTGTCTACTCCATGGCTGACATCCGCATGGTCTTCAATGGACCCTTTGCCCACAAGGAGGGTCCTAGTTACCAATGGGTGGCCTACACGGGGAAGATCCCCTACCCCCGCCCCGGCACAGTGAGCCTCGCCTTATACTCACCCCACATGTGAATCCACCAGCAAGCTGGCATAATACGGACTTCTCTCTCAGTCTGAGCTCAAATAAAAACCACCTGGACAAAATGCAGACATCAGCATAATCAAAAGTCAAAATATTACAGAAAGACAGCCTTTCATATATATTTTTTCATGTGATTATGTCCTTTCCTTTCAGTGGTTTTGAATACACAGTAGTATTAATGCTTCTGTTTCTCTCTCAGTGCCCCGGAGGTACATTCACCCCCAACATGAAGTCCACTAAGGACTATCCAGATGAAGTGATTAATTTTATGAGGAATCACCCTGCCATGTACAATGCCGTGTACCCAGTACACAAGCGCCCCCTGGTGGTTCGGACCAATGTGGACTATGAGTTCACCACCATCACAGTGGACCAGGTGACAGCTGCAGATGGCAACTATGAAGTGCTCTTTTTGGGAACCGGTGAGTGTTTTATGCACTTTTAATTAGAAATGTTATCTGTTTACTTACAAAATCATCACAGATGTTTTTAGGGCTATTTTAAAGTGACTACCATGTACACAGTGCCAGTCTGAACTTATGAACCCTTTGATTAGGGTCAGAAAGGTCAGTGACAGTGTCAGAAGAAAGTTGAATAAGGGAGAAAAAAAATCCCTCCCTCTGAAATAAATCTCATGTAAGTAGAGGGCTCATCACCCCTACACTAATTTATCACTTAGAGAAAAGCATTCTTGCTAGGGGGTGCGACAATACACTTAGCTCACGAGACGAGATGATACACGATACTGGGTTTGGAAAACAAGATGAGATGATATTTTAACAGTGTTTTTAAGAAATCTTCAGTGATGAAACGTAAGAATGGAAAAATTGTCTACCCCTCAGTTGTATTTTGAAATGTTTTAACTAATCACATTATAATTAATGTAATGAATGTCACTTCAGTTCTACTTTCTGAATATGAATTGTCATATGTGTTATACCCCAGTTCTTTAATTGGACAGATTTGAATAAGAAAGGAGTCTGCCTTTCTTGATTTTAGTGCAGGTTTATTTAAAAAAATATATAAATAAAGACTACAAAACACGATCCGGGTTGTTCCTTCCTCCAGAAGGCTGTGGCTGCTGGAGAGAGAAGCTCCCGGAAACACAGAGCCTAATACATTTATCAGTTTTGGGCTAACCCCTTACACAGATGAAGTCCGTCCAGCAGACTCCATCTCTTATCTAGAGCTCTATAGTCTTGGAGCAGCTGCTGGGAGCAGCTGGTCATAACAAAATGAGGAATTCCATGTGTGTGTGTGTTGTTACGTGGTGCATAGCTAAAACATTCATTCAGACATAATTCTAACACAAGATTAATACAAGAAAACAATTGGTGTCAAGGTACACATTTCAGAATCAACACTGTCTTCTAAACTTGAAGCAAAGCAGACTAGAGCAGACTTTGAATCTTATTAAATTGCATTACTAACACATTAAAGTCTAAGACATTAATGTCGAATAATTATCTGACTGATTTATTCATTTCTAACATATGCAGTAAAAACAACAAAATGCAAACACTGTAAAATGGTTTGCCACAAACTCAGCTGACTGCCTTCTCTCCTGTAGGATTTCACAAGTCTCTTTAACTGTATAACTGTGCATGAACTATGCATGAGCTTCTAACTTCTAACTGAAGCTGTATGTGACCTTCTGTGCTATTTTCACCCTCACCGCCCCGGATGGTGACATCATCCAGCAAAGGCGTTGACCAACAGGGGGACGAAAGGGACGTGGACAAAAAGAAGACTCTTTTGTTTACCTTGTTAACATAAGCATTCACTGCTATTTAGTGTCAAATTTGGGCCACAGTTAACTCACCATAACGACACGCAACGCATTCTCATTAGTACTAGATGTTAAACGGTGTTTTTTATCTTTCAGTGCTGACACACTGGTGGTAGAATTGTTGCTAAGGTAGAGTAGGTTACATTAGCAGCATGACTAACCAAAACACAACCGAAACTCAGGGGCTGGAAATGTGAATGAAGCCCCTCATGTTGACTTGTCACAGCCATGGCTGTTTCATACCCACCTACGACACTCCCCCCTGCAACCCCTCACCCCCCGACCAATGCAGCTCTGTGCATTAAAACACAGCAGGGAGTTGTGTTTTTGCCAGACTAATGTGAACGTATTGTCAACTAATATATCCTAGCGTACAGCTAGGATATATTAGTTGAACACTGAACCTTTAATAAGGCTCCAGTGTGACAGCAGCAGCCACCACACTGTATGCAGCCCTTATATGTTGTATATATGACACCTCTTAACTGACTCCTTTGTTCATCTGTGCATTACGGGGAGGGGAGGAAATAAATGCATTTGTGTGTGATAGCAGATCACTGTGGAGGAATGTGTATCCTTTCATGTTGTCAAAGGCAGCCATTCAGCCCCC